ATATTTATAGTTTGTTGAGGAATGGCAAAGAATGGAAATCTGAGGTGATGTACATAAATTGAGGAATTGATGAATGATTTATGGTATATGGATGTGGTAGAATTCCATTGTGCTATAAGAAATAAAGATGATTTCAAAGAAACCTGGAAAACATATATGAAAACTGATGCAGAGTGAAATGGCCTCGTTTGGGAGAACAATGTATACAAAAACAACTATGTGGTAAAGACAAGCAACTTCAAAAGAATTAGGAACTCTGATCAGCATAATGACCAACCATGATTCTGGGGGACTAATGATGAAACATGCTACCCACCTTCTGATAGAGAAGTGAAAGACTCAGCGCAGGATGAGACATATTTTTTGGATGTGGCTAATGCAGGAAATTTGTTTTTCTTGACTACACATGTTTGTAATAAGTTTTTTTTATTCTTTCATTCTCACTTAACAGGGAGGGATGGGAGATGATGTTTTTACTAATTAAAAAAATAAAAAGTTTTTTTTAAGAATATATAGGCTGTCACAGATGAAAGGGACCTTAGAAACCATCTAATCCAACCCTCCTATTGTATAAATAGGAAAACTGAGGTCCAGAAAGGGAAGGTTGTAAGATAATAGATTTTTAAGTGCAAGGGACCTTAGAAGCTATCTCATCCAACCCACAATTTATAGATGAAGAGCAAATCTAACCCCTTCATTTTATAGATGAGGAAACTGAAGTTTCAACAGTATGAGTTGCCCAGGGTCCCATTGCTAGAAAGCATCTGAGCAGGATTTGAACTCAGGTCTTCCTAACTCCAATGTGACGATCTAGACACTATCTCACAGTTCTCCTGACACCCAGCCTGGTCTCCTTCTACCCCACAGCCACCTCTGTAAACTTCAAGGGTAGCCCCCTCTTCCCTACCCCAAGAACTAATTCCCAACATTTTTTTTTAACAAATCTCCCCCCATTCCCTTCATGAACATCAGATTTCCTTTCTCTTTCTCCTTAGTCCTCATCTTTTCAAACTGAAAAGGCCTCAGATTTGGGGGCCTTTCTTCTTATCTCTACCATTCTGGTTGTAGGTCCCTCCCCCCATATCTCATGCACTGACCACTCTCTGGGCCTTCACGAGGAGCAATAAGTTACAAAGAGGCTGGATGTCAGAAGAGACTTCCTAACAATGGTAGTTGTCTAAAAGTGAAATGGGCTGCACTGGGAGACTGCATTCAAGGACAGGGACTAGATTTTGCCTTTCTTTGTACCTCCAGCACTTAACATAGTTCATGACACATAGTAGGCACTTTTTAAATGTTTACTGACTGGTGGATTGCCCCTCCTTTGAGGTTTTCAAGGAGAGACTGGAGGATTACTTGTCAGATACATTATAGTGAGAAGTCCTTTCCTGTATGGGCTATTCGTAACAGGCTTCCTAAGCAGCTGTATCAAAAAATTCTTCCCCTCATGGCCCTACCTCAGTTCCTCCTAACTTAAGATGAATCAGTCCATTGTCAGAACCCTTCCCCTGACTGGAAGGGCTGATCAACAGGAAGGAAGACACTGAACAGAGCTAAAGGGTATGGGATAGGATGGGGAGAGCATCTTGGGCTTCTTCCCAGGCAAAGGCTCTGCCCCAAAGAATCACATTACTGAAGAGTTGGAAGACATGTTGGAGGCTATCTAGACTAACCCCTACACAAAAGGAATTCCCAGCACAGTACACTTGATGAGCAGGCATTCAGCCATGGCTTGAAGATATCCAGTGAGTGGAAACTGACTACCTCTCTAGAGCAACCCCATCCACTCACTGTGGACTCATCAGTGCTCATTGTGGAGAAAGTTTTCCTGGAAGTGAATTTGCTTATTTGTAACATCTACCCATTGGTCTTAGTTATGTCTTCTGGGGCCAAGCAGAGCGAGAGTAACCTCTCTTCTTCTAAGGTCCTTTCCAACTCTAAATCTAGGACCATAGACCTAAAGATGAAAAGGACTTCAGTCTTTTCAATCTAATAAACCCCTACATTTTATACATAAGGAAACTGAGACCCAGGAAAATTAAGTGATTTGCTGAAGGTCAGAGTATCAAAGTTGGGATGTGAACCCAAGTCCTCTATATCACACTACCTCCAAATACTCGAAGACAGAGGAGGGGGTGAAGAGGGAGGGAGGAAGGAAAGGAGGAGGAGGGAGGAAGGAGGGAGGGAGGAAAAGGAGAGAAGGAGGGAAAGAGGAAGGAAGGAAGGAAGAAAAGGAGGGAGGGAGAGGGAGAAAAAGAACATTTTGTTAAGTTCTTACTTGTGTCAAGCACTGTGCTAAGCTCTAGGGACACAAATACAAAAACAAATACAATTCCTACCTTCAATAAGCTTACATTTTAATAGAAAGAGATTGCAAACATAGGGGATGGTAGCCAAGGAAAAGCATTTTGGTCAGAAAAGCTACAAAGATGTAAGCAGGGCCATAAGGGAGAGTAGGTTGAGACACTTGGCAAGGAAAATGGCAAAACAGACAGGTTTGTGGCTCCAGAACTAGACGGTTTGGGAGTCTTCACAGGTTCAAGGCCCTTTATCATCCTCATTGCCCTCCTCTGGACACTCTCCAGCTTATCAGTGGCTCCCTATAACATGGTGCTAGAACAGAATGCAATGCAATGCTCTCAGTCCTGAGAGCATTATGCACTATCCAGTGAAAAGATACCAAACCTGGGAGGCAGGAGCCCTAGGCTTTGGTCCTGGTCCTACTGCTAACTTGCTGTATGAAAGTCATTTTCCTTCTCTGAGCTTAGTTTCTCAATCTATACAATCAAAGTATGACATCTGATGGTCTCTAGTCTGGAAAATTCCTTCCAATGCTGATATCCACTGTTCTATGAGGTGAACACTGATAACAGAGGTGGGGTTAGGTGGCTCAATGGTCAGAAGTCTCCTGGGATAGCTGGTACTGAAACTGGGCTTTGGTTCACATCTCAAATCTGATGTGAATTCTTTGGCCTTGAACACATCATTTAATCTTCCTGGGTCTCAGTTTCCTCATATGTAAAATGAGGGGGTTGACCAAATGGAAGAGAGAGGAGAGAGAAGGTACTACAGACCTCAAAACTGGGGGTGGGGGAGAAAACTAAAGAGGCCAGAAAGGCTGGGTTCTAGAGACTCCTCCTTTATATCAGCCTACGCCCCAAATCCCAAAGCTATCAGCCAGGGGCAAAGGGGCTTTCTGGGGCCTCTCCCTTAGCTGCTCAACCAGGTGTTTTCCAGCTCCTGAAGCTTTGGAGACTCCACCCAACACCCGGAAAAGGATATCCAACAGTTAGTGAGAAGCAGCAGGGAGGGAGGGGGTGGCCACCTGGAAGGCATCATTTGACTACAGGAGATACCTGGAACTGGGCCCCAGCCTTCCTGGTTGCAAAATCCATTTGCATGTGAACCAGGGGTTCTCCAGAGCAAAGCTGGGTTCTCCAGAAGGGAATTTACTTTTCCCTATCCTTAGCAGAGAGAGCCAGAGTCAGACTCCCACCTAGACCAGAACTGGGCAATTCTGAGTACCACCTAATTCCTAGGGAGTTCACAATGGAAGGGCCAGGATACTAGGATCTTCAGGGACCTTTATTAGATTATGAGCACTTCCAAAGCAGAAACTGTTTCTCTCCTTTTTTTTTGCCTTTCTTTTTTTTATTAATTTATTTTGATTTATCAACAATAACTTCCATATGCTTTTGAGTTTAAAATTTTTCTCCCCCTCCCTCCCCATCACCCTCTCCAAGATAGCACACAATCTGATATATTGTCTTTTTTTTTAACCCCAGTGCTTAGCAGAGTGCCTAGAACACAGCAGATACTTAATCAGTGCTTATTGACTGATTTACCTGAAGAAGAGTCCTTAGAGTGAGTCAGTTGCTTCTTATAGAAGTTTGATGGGACCTCAGAGGTCCAAATCATACCTGAAGACGAATTCCCCTCAGTAGCATCTCCAACAAATCAACATTCAGTTTCCATGTGAAGATCCCGAAGATGAGGAATTTACCACCAGTGCAAGTGGAATTTGGGAGGAAGGAGCTCAGAGAGGCTGCTACATTTCCAAAAGCATTCCACTCTTGGACAGATGAGTTCCTCTGGATTTCCCCTTTCCCTGATTCCTTTCCACTCTTCCAAATCCTTCCCATCACTAATCTTTCCTCTTCTGAGAAGCCTTTCATAACCTCTCCAACACACAGTGAACTCTTCCTCCAATGACCTTCCTTAATATTTATTGTGTGCCTTTCTGTGGACACTTAGTCATGGTATTGGTAGTTTCCTCAATCCCTGTGTGTTTACATTGTAAATACCTAACATGTGTTTATTTGTGAACATGTTAACATTCCCATCACAGAATGTAAACTCCTTAAATGTAAAGGGAATTTTTCACTTTTGCATTTTGTATCCTCAGTGCCTTAGAATACAGTAAGTGCTTAAAAATAGTTTGTTGATTTGTTGATTAACTCTTGTTTCTTAAATTATCTGGCTTTCTCCCCAGAAAAAGGCTTTGAACTCTCTGGGAAGACAAGGACTAGGTCTCCCCAGCAGATGGAAAACAGGGCCCCCACAAACAGTAGACACTAATTATATGAGTCCTGAGAGGTAGGGTCTATCCCCATTGCCCCTGAGAAGGCCCACACCTAAAACCCAGTCAATAGAGAGGGACAGATGGATGGTATCTCCTGCCCCATAGATTGTAGGCATCTTAAAAGCAGGAATCGATATTTTTGTCTGTATTACACAGTGCTTTGCATATAGTAGATGCTTGTGGTATTGGACTGAATTTAATTGAATGTGATTTAGAGGAATGTCTCTGAATAGGCAATAGCTGTGTGTATATGTGTATACATATATATGTATGTGTATACATGTATACATATATGCATATACACGTGTGTATATAATAAAACATTGCTGTGGAACTTTTACACTTAGAAAACATATCCCAAATGTTGAGTGGGTTATCTCATTTGACTAGTCTTCATAACAATCTTGTGAAGTAGGTGCTACAATTATTACCCTCCTTTTGACAGATGAGAAAACTGAGACTCCAGGAAGTAAGGTGTCTTGCCTCATATACTTAGGAAGTGTCAAAAGTAGGTAGACCCAGCTTTTCCAACTAACCCCAGCTGCCTATAACACGGACTGCATCGCGAGTGTGTGTATTAAGTGCCTCTCTGTCCCTACATGTACTTGCTGCCTAGCATGTGTGCAATTCCTTAAGACAAACTCAAAGCAAGAACGAATTTAGAGGTTATCTAATTCAATTCCTTCGTTTTACAAATCAGGAAACTGAGACCCAGACAGATGAAGGGGCTCGGTTCCTCTGAATCCTGGATCCTGCATTCTTTTCCCATTATATTCGCCTGTCTCTTCACCCCCACCCCCACAAGCCTCAAAAATTAATGGACGTTGAAGGGACGCCAGGATAGACCGAGGCAGCGGCCCCATGGGCCCGCCCTTCCCTTTCCCCACTTCCTCTTCCTTGGCCCCAAACCCACGTGGAAGCCGTGCTCCACGGGGGCTGGAGGAGCTAGTCCGGGGCCAGAGCCGGGTGGCCTCGGTCAGCACGGGAGAGGACAGGCCCGGCCCTCAGCCCAGCGCCGACTCAGCCTCCGAGGCTGGCCAAGGTGGGAGAGGGGCGACGGGGCCGGCTCGGGGAGAGGGTGAGGGACGGGGAGGCGTGTCCGAGGCGGGGCGGGGAAGACCGGCCTGGCCGGAGGAGGGGGAGGAGCAGGAAGGGGCGGTGGCGGCGGCTGCTCCGCCTCCTGCCTCCCCACCCCTGCCCGGCCTGGCCCCGCCACCACCGCCTCCTCCCTCTCCTCCTCCTCCTCCTCCTCCTCTTCCTCCTCCTCCTCCTTCTCCTTCTCCTCCTTCTCCTCCTAAAGGGCCGCCGCCACTGCCGCTCCGGCTTTCCGCGTCTTCGAAACCGCCGCCACCTGTCGGGACCTGCCCGCCCCCCGGTATAAAGCCCCGGGGACGAGCCCTGCCCCCCGGAGTCGGACCCCCATGGAGACACTGCTGGGGACAGAGCACGGCCGGGTAGGAAGATCCCGGCGCGGGTGGGATCTGGTCCCCAGCTCGAGCCCGGGGCGCTCCTCCCCCAACTTACCTGAAGTTGTCGCGAAAGTAGGGACAGAGTCCTGGAGGGGTAAGGGGGGGGAGGCGGCGGGACAGCTGTCGTCCATATCCGGACTGGGCCCGAAGAGGTAGCCGGAGAGAGCCCGGCCCCAGGGTCAGGCCGGAGCCTCCGAGGCCCGGGGCGGAGTTGGGGGGGGGGACCGGCCCCAACCCCCCTGGGCAGGCATTAGTCTGGATCTGACAAGACATTTCTCTTCTCCACCGCCCTCGCCCAACCCACCCCCCCCCCGGCCTCACTTCGCTCGAAAGTTTCCTACGTACTTTTCTGCCCCTTCAGCAGTTTTGGAAACCTCTCTCGGGTACCCTAGCTCCGTGACCTTGGCAATGCCTTGGGACCCGTTGTCTCGTGCCTGGATCTAAGAAACAGGCTATGTAGCAAACCCCTCTCCCTTCCCCCCCCCATCACTCCCACGGTGAGATTGGGACATGGCCAGATCTTCATTGAGCTTGGCTGGGGGGCGGGGCGGGGGGGGGGGGGGGGCATTCGCCACCTAGTTTAGCCTGGTTTCTTGACCTCTCCTCCGACCCCACTTCCCAATCTGCCAATGTTGTCTGGTCCCTCCCTCACCCTTCTCCTAATTAGGGGGGTGGGGAGGGAGAGATACCACCGTAAGCAGCTGCCCAGGAACTCTGGGAAGGGTGGTCTGTGAGCTCTCCCTTCCCCCAATCAGAAGAGACTTGTATGGGGGTTGGGGGGTGGGGAGAATTTCAGAGAGATCTTAGCCTCCGGGGCCTGTTGGAGAGGTGAAACTGTTAGGGAGGCGGGGTTTTGTGAGTCTTTTCTGGGCACTGCATTTCTGGCCTCAATTTCCCTAGCAATATGGTGGCCAAGAGTACAGGAGGTTTTGGTTTCACAGAATCACTAAACCTCAAAACTAAGGGAAAAAAATCTAGTTCCTTCCTTTAGAGATGAGGAAACTGAGGCTCAGAGCTAGGAAGTGATTGGCCTAAGTTACACCAAAAGTGAGCGGCAGAACTGAGATTTGAACCCAGGTCTCCCAATTTCAGGCAAATGTTCTTTCTGTCACACTAAGTTGTCCACATAAGAAGCCTACATGAATGCCACCCACCTTTTCTCTTCTGACCCCCCTGATTAAGTGAGCATCTGCTTGGTTGGTTCACAGAAGCTGGAAGGAACTGGGAGCTTGAGCCTTCAGGAAGAGAAGGATGAACATGGACCAGAGGTCCCCCGAGGTCCTGACTCCTCAAAGTGAGGGCCCTTCCCATCAAGCCAATCCTGCCATGAGTCTTTCAGCTGTCCAGGAGAATGCCTCCTTGGGACCCAACAGCCTGGGACTTCCTAGACTTCGGGGGAGCCCCCAAACCAGCCGGTCTTGCTCCCCACACAACAGAAGTGTGATGGTGGCCCCAGAGACAGGCCAACCAGAAGGGTTGGATGATTCAGAGCTACAGATGAAAGTGGACTTTTTCCGGAAACTAGGCTACTCATCTGGGGAGATCCATGGGGTCCTGCACAAGCTGGGACTTCAGGCTGACACCAACACTGTCCTGGGTGAGCTGGTGAAACATGGGCCAGCTGCAGAGCGCGAAGCCTCACTGGATGGGCCCACAGAGCCCCCATTGGTGCCCCGAGGTGGAGGGACCCCAAAGGTACCCTCCCCTTCCTCTCTACCCCCAGAGGACAAGGAAGCCAGTAACCTGAGGCCAGTGGTCATCGATGGGAGCAATGTAGCCATGAGGTCTGTTCACTCACTCTGGGTATCATTTTGTCTCTTGCTCTGGTTTCATGCTGGTTTACTAGGAGCTTGGAATGTAATAAGCATATTTGTCCCTGGCCCTCACTGACAGTTCTATAGTCAATTGAGTTTTATGGTTGTTCTGGTTACACACACAGGGGTTAACATCTCAGAGCTTTGCTTGTGGGGCTTTGTTAAACAAACATTCGTTACCTGCTGTGTGCAGCTCACATTTCTGGCAGTGATGGGTATACAATTCTGCCTTCACCAAGGCATGGGTCTCCCATCTAGTATGTTACATTTCTTATAGGAGGGTAGGGCACCAACATTTCAATGAGGTTCTTTCCTGGGTGAAAATCATTGGGGAGGAATGGGTTTGCATCTCATCTGGCCTCAGTTTCCTCATCTCTAAAATGGCATTAGGTCCAGGGCCCATAGGAGCTCTCAGGTTCCAAGTGAGGAAATGCCAACTCCATTATCTCTGAAGAAATACGGACAGTGGACTGAATGTCAGGTTTGTAGTTGGCAAGACTTGGATTGAAATTGCAACTCTAAATTTACTAGCTGATGTGGCCATGAGAAAGTCATTTAACCTCTGTGAGGCTGAATTTTCTTGCCTTGAAGGGTTGTTATGTTGTATGTAAGGCCTTTGACAAACATTAAAACTCCTGATGCTAAAGATATCCCCTCCTCCTCAACTGGAGGAAGGGTTGCCCCCAACTCTTTTTACCTGCAAGGACCTGGACTAAATGCAGGCAACTCCTGGCCTTTGGAGTGAGTGGGTGGACCCAGGGAGCCAAGTGCTTAGGCCTCAGGTGAGCCAGTGACTCACCTGCCCCTCTGACTCAGGGGACTGTCCCTGCCAGAGCCCTGAGCCATGAGGAAGGTGCTTCCTGGAGCTGGCTGGGGACAGCACCTCTTGACATGACAGCCTTGGGCTCAGGCAGGAACTCCCCTGGGTGAGGGACAAGGCAATGAGCAGGCTTGCTGTGTATGGGGGGGTCTTCTTCAAGCAAGGACTTGAGGCAATAGCAAGGTCTAATGAGTTCCCAGCCTTTCTGCTCTGGCCTAGCTACTGGCCTGGGAGTAAAGTGGTCCTGGAGGTGTTGGGAGGTCCTGGAAAACGGGTCAGACTGGAGGCTAAGCCTTCCCTCTTAGCTAGCTGGAACAAAAGGCCCTGGTGTCTGGAGAGGGAAAGGAAATGGGTGGTTTGGAAACAGTCTATACTAGACAAAGAGAACCTGAGCCCAGGAGTTAGGAGACCTGGGTTCTAATTCTGGTTCTACCACTGACTCCTTATGACCTTGGCCAGTTTCCTTCCCACGCTGGGGTCTCAGTTTTCTCTTCAGTAAAATGAAGGCCAACGAACCAGAACTTTTCAGCTGATCCATTGTAAATCTGAGTTGCTATGTAGTTTTTTTAAAAAAATTATTTTTTATTAGCTGAAGACAAGAGGAAGCTTTTTGAGGGTTAGTAGAGTGGGACACTCCCGATTTAGGGAGTTAGATAGTGACATGCTTTCTTTACTTGACATATGGGGAAACAGGGTCAGAGAGGGGAAGGATCATAGGATCATAGATTTAGGGTTGTGAACCTGGACAAAGTCATACAGCAGGTATTCTTCTGACGAGTGATTTCCCATTCTTTCTGCCCTTACCTAGTGAGATCCATGTTGGCCTGGACTGAAAGAGGAGGGGAATAGCTAGGGTGGCCTTGGATTCTGGGGACTTGTCATCTCTTGCCACTTTCCCCACTCTTAACAGTCCCTGGCACAGCCAAGGTCAGGTCTGTACTGGGACCTAAAAGAAGCTGGGTGTGGGGCTACCTGGAGGTCAGGAGAAGGATTTCTGAGAGAAAGCCTGGCTTGTCACAGTTTAGTGACTAGCGGTTAGTCATAACTCTGAGGGGCTCTTGACCCTCACCCTCGATGTCACAGCCTTGTTCAGCAGTAGCTTAAGAGGGCTTACCTGCTACCTCCAGCCATGGGGGCAGGAGGTGTAGAATCTCTGCTTGATGAGTGGGTTATCTGAAATGGGAAGAATGGTGTAGAGTCTTCCTGGTGTGGTACCAGTTTGGTGATCAGTCAGGGTATCTGTGTGGTATGAGGTTGTGTTGTGTAGGGTATAAATACTGGTTTGTATGGTATTTGGATGTGTGTAGAATGTAAGTGTCTCCAGATTAAGGATTGTTGTTTTTTTAATTTGTCTTTGTATCCTAACATAGTACCTGGTTCAAAGTAGGTATGTAATATATGGGGATGTTGCGTTGAAATCCTGGATTTGGAATGGGAGGGTCTGGGTTCAGATCCCCACTCCCCTGTGTGATGTTGGGTAATTTCTGGCCCTCTCCGGACCTCCCTTTCCTTATCTGTAAAATAAGGGGTTTAAACTCTTCTATCAGGTCCTTGAGAGCGGAGGTGGTTGTATCCTCAGCACCCAGAACAAGTGCCTGGCACTGAGGAGGGACTTAATAAATGCCCCATTGATTAGTTGGCCCCTGAAGGCCCTTCCAACTCCAGATATGATCCTTCTATTTGAATATTCTTGGATTGGATGAAAAGTCTGCTGAGAGATTGATTTTGGGGTGTGATGTATCAGGATAGTGTGAAGGGGGCTGGTGATCAGTGTCCTAGAATGTGTATTGGGGTACCTCAGGGTCCTGTGAGGGTATTGGGGTGGGAGAGTGCAGGTCTATAAGACAGATTTGTAGACGGTCAGTTGTGGGGTGGGGAAGAGAAGCTAGCTCTGCTTCTTGGCCTGTGTATAGTAGATTGAGCTGTGACAACAGTGTATGGGGGAGGGAGAATGAGGGGGAGGTAATCCAGCCGGGCTGGCCAGGAGCAGGCAAAAATGGCCCAGCCCAGCCCCAGGAGCCATGTGGAGTGGGAGAGGAGAGAGGTCAGGCCTGGCTGGGACCACAGTCCCCTGCTGACTGGGGTTTTCATTGCTCCCCAGGAGGGGAATTCCAGCCCTAACTTCCTGTATTGGCTTGTGTTGCAAACTCTGTCCCTGCCCTGCCTGAATACAACCCCCCTCCACCCCCAACCCCTCCAGCGCCCCCACCATATGCAAATCAGGTGGAAATTAACCTCTCATTTCCTTCTAAGGGAATTTTCTCAGCCCGTTGCCAAATCAGATTACCTGGGGAGGGCTTCTTCTCTCCCTTCCCAGGGGACTCTGGGAGAGCCTGTCTGGCCATAACCTTCCTCTCCTCCCCTCTCCCCATTCCTCAGGCTCAGGGGCAGGCTACTTTGATTAGAAAGAAAGCTTTTATTAAACATCAAAGCTGAGAATTAGGCCAGCCTTTGGGAGAAGGCCACATGTTCTCTAGAACACAGATTGTCAAAGCTAGAAGGGACACATTTTGATTCAGCTAGCATTTTTCAGGCACCTACTGTGTGCCACGCTCTGTGCTAGGCCTTAGAGATTGAGCTAGAGACCTGTGATTTCTTGCCCAGGGAACTGCCAGGTGAGGTTAATTCCCTTGCCAGTGCCAGTCAGCATGTTCCCTACAACTCACACAGCCTGACGAGAAAGCTGCCCGGGACATGGAGAAGTTAGTGCCTTCACCATCCTGGTCACCAAGCCATCGTGTGTTACAATGCAATCTTGGCTTCCAGGCCAGCTCTAGCCACTACACCATACTGGACCCCGAGGATACAAGGACAAAAAGAAGTAGCTGCCATTATGGGGTAGTGAGAAATTGAGGCTTCGCTTGGGGACCTTCAAGGGTGATGGAGTAGCAGGCCTTTCCTTCCCACTGAATTGCCCTCCCCACAAAAGCTGTGTTGGGTGGTTTTTTTTTCTTCTCAAGATTTCACACTAAGACTGACCCCTCTGAAAGGAGACTGAGGATTCTTTTGGGTTCTGACTGTCTGAAGTGGAAGGAAGGGATAAGTGGGCAGAGAAGAAAGTCAGAGACCCAAGAGAAAATGGCTTTGAGGAATAAAATAGGAGTTTTTGAGACCCTGGGGGGAATGAGAGTCTTAGGTTCATTCAAAGCCTCCATTGGGAGCCTCCCTAATGGGCCAGGGCAGGAGAGAATGGAGGGAAGGGGGAAATGCCATAGTCTTTACAGTGCCCCTCACTTCCCTTTCCTCCTGAGGTCTCCCAAGGCTAGACTGACCATCTGTGGGAGGAGGGAGCTGGGCTCAGAATTTTCCAATAACAAGCAGGCCCTGGTTTTGTAGCTAGAGCCAGAGGCCTTATCTGTGGGGGAGGCACAAGCCAAAGACTCAGTGCCCACCCTCTGAGCAGGAGGGGGGTCTGTGTGTGTGTGCCCACACCCAAACGAGGCTTTCTGACATGTTTATGCATGTGAGTAAAGAGCCCAGAGTAGGTTGGGTGTTTTGTCTCAGAGTTGAGGAGGCCACCAGCTGTTCGAGCTTCCCCAGGGACGACTGAATGGGATTGCCACCATAAAGTGTCTCATCCCACCCCTAACTCCAATCTCCAAACACACAGGGCAGCAAGAAGGAGGGAGATGAAGGGTATGTTACACCTAGCCCAGCCAGCTTCTTCCGGGAAACTTCCTGTGACTAATCTTACTCAACCCAGGGTTGGGTGAGTGAGTGAGAGTGTGTGTGAGTGTGTGTGTGTGTGTGTGTATTTGTGTGCACACGTGCATGCATTCTTTCAACCAATAAATGCCAGCCTTACAGTCAAAAATTCCTAAATTCAGGGCCTTGCTCTTAACACATATTAGCAATGGATGATTCTGGGAAAATCACATAACCTCTCTGTGACCCCAGGCAACTCTAAAAATCTAGTCAAGTCAGCAGGCATTTATATGGGCCTGCCATGTGCTGGAGATACAAACAAAGCAAATGGTCCCTGCCCTCAGAGAGCTCACAGGCTGATAGGGGAGATAGGCAAACCATGACTGCAGACCAGATGTGGACAAGACAAATCAGAGGTAATCAGCGGAGGGAAGGCACTAGAATTAAGGGGGGTCAGGAAAGGCTTTTTGCAGAAGGTGGGATTTTAGCTGAGGTTTAAATGAAACCAGGATCCAAACATGAGGAGGGAGAAACCAAGGCAAAAGAGCTTCCATCCTGAATTAGTAGAGGTCACTGGGGGGGAAAGTCCAAAATGGGGGGAGGGGCCCTGTCTTCTGTTTTCCTCCACATCTGTTGCCCACAGTCCCAATTATAGACCTGCCCAGAGTCTCAGTGAGCAGCGCCCACCACCTCATTTCCATTCCCACCTCTCTGGGGCTCAGCCCCATTTCTTCACAGCTTCCTAGAAATGAGGCTGAGACAGGCGATATAAAGGCAAGAGTCCTGGGCTAAAAGACAGATCTCTGATCCAGTCCCAGCCCTGCCACAAACCAAGGTCATAAGTGTGACTTTGAACAAATCATTTGGTGTCTCTGGGTCTCAACTTCTTCCTCTCTAAAAGGAGGGGAGTTAGACTAGCTAGCCAGCTAATCTCTTCCCAGCTGGAGTTAGAACACCCAAGAGGGGGATAGCATAAGCAGAGAACACAGAGAGGAGAGGGGAGAGAGATGAGAAGAGAAAACATTCTTCCCCAGAGAGGAGGGTTTCCAGTGGAGGGGAGAGGAGATGGAGCTAGCCTGGTGCTCTGATGGCCCCACAATTCACCCAGAGCTCAGAAAAGAGTGCAGTGGGGTCAGCGTTCTTAGAAGGGACCTTGGAGGTCTAAGGCTGCATTATCAAGGAGGAAATTCAGGTCTAGGGGAGACCCAGGCTCACCCAGCTCCTGGCCTTCCTGCTCAACCTCCTGGTATCCTTTCTGGACACCTTCCCTAGGCACTTCCTTGTGCCCTAACTGGGGGCTCTCAGCCGCTCCCCCCAGCTGCTCTCTGGGTTAATTCTGGGTTTGGTTGGGAGGAAAGTGGGCAGGCAGACGGACGCCCCAGAAATGGGAACATCCCCGGCAGGATGTGGTTTTCAGCGGCACTGCCTTCTTTACGTAAGATTAGTCTGTCTGATTTTGCCAGATGTATGAGTTCTCAATTCTCATTTGGGGTGGAGGGGGAGTGTAGGGAGGGAGGAGTAGGCAGTGGGAGAGAGGCCAGTGTAGCCAGGGAGTTGGCAGCCTGGACCTCCCACCTCTAGTCACCAGAGCCTTTGATTGCTTGGAAACCCTCTGCTACCTTTAGTTAATGTGCAGCCAGGTCTGGTTACATGGCAACCATAGGGTACTGAATTGACATGGAGAACAGGGGGTAGTTTAACCAGACCCTTGTCTCTCCTGATTGCCCTCCTAGTCATACTGGACTAAGGAGGAAAGGCTCTATTTAGCCACAGTGGCACTGTTTTTCCACTGAGAGGGAGAAAATGGGGATCACTGCCCCCAAGTCATAGACTGGGAGACTGAGGCTCAGAGAGTACTGAGGAGAACCCAGATGTCTGATTATCTCATTCCAGACCTACATTAGGTACTGCCTTCTCCTCCAAACCTCCAGTCTAGGGGAGTTTATTTAGAGCAGGGCTTCTTAAGCCTGTATCCTGGACCCACTGGGTCCAACCCTGTTCAAGATAAAGTATTTAAATACATTAAATAAAATGCATAGGATTAGAAAGGAAATTGATTATATTGAAAAATAGTTCTCAATATACATTTTAATTCATTCTCCCAAGTGAAGAACATCTGATTTAGAGAGTGACAGCTACACTAGTCACCCAGCCAGCATGCTTAAAGTCCTGTGCCAGACGCCAGGGATACATATCCAAAGGGTGAACAAGCTCCTTGTCACAAGGAGCCGAGAACCTAACAGGAAAGCAAGTACAGACACTGTACGTGTATATGCAGACACACAAATACAAAGAGCAATGAAAACAGAGACACGTGGTCAGGGAGACAAGGAAGGAGATTTTGCTTTTCCAGTTCTGGTCACTGGGCTCACTTTATTGGGTGGCAAAAAGATTCCAGAGGCGGATTTCTCCTCCTTCTACTACTTCCTACCTACGTGACTTTATGACAATGTCACTTAGTCTGTCTTTGGTCCTCAGTTTCCTCATTTGCAGAATGAAGGAGTAAAACTAATTTGTCATGGAAAGAATACTGGACTCTGAATCCAGAAGAACCTGGATTCAAATCCTGCCTTAGCTACTTATTACTTTGTATGGCTTTGGGCAAGTTACTTCTGTTTCCTCATCTATAATCTGATGGGAGTGGATTTGCGACTTCTGAGGTCCCTTTCAGCTCTGGAGTTGTGATCTATGATCCTATGATTCTAAGACCTGTTGTTTCAGCAAGGTGAGCCTCTAAGACAGGCTGGTTCTCAGACAGCCCATACATTCAAATCCTTTTCAGCCTCAGTGTAGGTTCTCTGGAGATTGCCTTTGGCCAGCAAAGTCTTCCAGAGCCCAGGCTCTGTTGGGGCAGTGGAGAAAGATTTTCAGTGGAGAGTTGAAGGAAATGACCAAAGTACTATTCTCCATGCCCTCCTAATGCCTCTGTTAATTATTTCTTATTTATCCAGTCTATAGATTGCTTTGTATATGTTTGTTTGCATGCTGTCTCCATTAGATTATAAGGTCTTTGAGGGGAGGGACTGTTTCTTGCCTCTTTTTGTATCCCTAACCCTTAGCACAGTGCCTGGCATATAACAGGGGCTAAATAAATGTTTATTGAATTGAATTTTCCTACTTAAAGGCCAAATGATCTCTGTCCCCAGCAGGGATATTTGAGACCCTAATGCCTTAGGTCAGAGCTGCAGGTCTCCCCCTAGCCATCCCCAGACCTACCTAGGTCCACCTCCATTAGCCTTATATGGTAATAGCTGGAGGGGTTAAGGGTTTGAGTATGGCTTTTATTTAAATTTGAAATGATCTTGATCCTCTTTGAGGCCTTCTAGGAGTGGCTTACTCAGTCTCACTGGCTTTGACCTTCATTTCCATCTTGAGGTAGGAATTGGAAAGGGAGGGTTTAAATCATTTGTCTAATCAGACCTTTGAATTACAGCTTCTGAGTTGTAAAGGACTTTAAAGACACAAAAATATATATTTGCTTTACAGATGGGGAAACTGAAACCCTAGAAAGGAAAAAAAATCCTTGCCTATGTCACGAGTCAGTCAGAGCTGGGATTCAAAACCCAGATTTCTTGACTCCCAGTTGTAGAATTCTAGAATTTCATTGAATGACTGAATTGTTTTTGTAGTAGGAAAAGATCTTGGGAACCATTTAGTCCAGTTCCTTCTTTTTATATATAAGGAAGTTGAGGCCCAGAGAAGGAGGAAGGGATTTGCCTCATATCACATACAGCCAACTCATATAGGAAGCAGGGCAAGAGATCCTGCTGTCTTGGCCGATGTATCTCCTTGGAGACACATTGTTTGGAGATAGGTGAAGTCATGGAATAATAATAATAACAACAACAACAACTGTATTTGTTCAGGGCTTTAAAGTTTGCAAAGTGTTTTACAGATATTATCTCATTTGATCTTCATAACGCTCCTGGGGGGTAGGTGCTGTTATTATCCCCATTTTATATATGAGAAAATTGAGGCAGACAAAGATTAAGTGACTTGCACAAGGTCATGCAGCTAGTAAGTGTCTGAGAGGAAATTTGAACTGAAGTCTTCCCGACTGCGAGTCTACCTCCTTGTCTCATGTAGATCATGTAGCTATAGTTATAGGTATAGGGTCATAGCAACATCAATTTTCAGAGCTGAAATGTGGTACCTCAGAGATTATGTATTTACCCAAGGAAACTGAGGCCTACAGAGAAGCGATTTGCCCTAAGTCAATCAGATATCAGGGAGCAGAGCTGGGCTTCAAACTCCAGTCTCTGCCTCCTCTTTCCACTTTGCCACATCGCCCCCAGGGGCACAGAAACCAGAAGTCTCAGTGTTCCTTCCCCCAGCCTTAGCTGATGTTGCAAAGTGTGTCTGACCCCTTGGGGAGTGTGAGCTGCCAGATTCCTGGCTGTTTCTTCACTTTGGAGGGGGATAGGGGAGAAGGGGAATTCCCTGCTGGTGGCGCTATGGGAAACTGGGGTGGAATGTAAGAGCCAGAAGGCCTAAGGGAGTTACCTGTTAGTACCCAATTCTTCTCATTCCTGGGATGAAGAAATTGAGGCCCCAGGAGGACGTGCAGAAACTGTGCCAGACCAAGCCTCTCTCCCTTCCTTTCTGGCCAGATAAAAATTGAACCCTCTGTCCTATGTGTCCTTTGTTTTCTCCTCGCTCTTCTACATGGATTTACCCTGTGATTTCCACCTACCTTCTAGCCATGGAAATAAGGAGGTTTTCTCCTGTCGGGGCATCTTGCTAGCTGTGAACTGGTTCCTGGAGCGTGGCCACTCAGATATCACAGTTTTTGTACCACTGTGGAGGAAGGAGCAGCCACGCCCTGATGTGCCTATCACAGGTAAGGGGAGACATGGAGAGCCCAAGCCTCTTAAAGTGGGGAGGGAGGTGGGGGGCAGGATAAGCCTTAGTTCAGGGAACTTTGGCCAAGCCAGAGTCTTGGGAAAGACTGTCCCCTTCTCCACTTCTCCATCCCCTGCCCAAGCAGGGATTGATAAAAATGGGGGTCAGAAAGCAGTTTCACGTTGCCCCCTCCCCCTGCTGGATGGATATAGGTCTCTCTCTTTGGGACTGATGAAAATCATTGCCTCTCCTTTCCTGACTCTTGGTAAGAAACCCTGCCTTCCAGCCCAGGTTTCTCTTGCAAGGTCTTTTAAGTTGAGAACCCTACATTTCTGTGGGAAAGGAGCACCTCGCAACCTTTCAGAGCCTCAAGGTGCCTAAGGTAGAGATGTGGGTTGCTGCATGGGAGCCATGGGGGAAGGGGAAGTATGGATGTGCTGCTGCTGCCACTGGCCACCACCAGCACCACTTGGTCTAGTACTGACCAAGTCAAGATCAAGGTCAAGATTGTTGTGCTTCTCAGTGGTGAACAAGTTGATCCCATTTCTAAGACATTTGAAGGTTTACAAAATGTTTCCCTCATACCATGCCTGTGAGGTCAGCAATGAACGCCCATTTTACAGATGAGAAACCAGCTTCCCCTTGGGTCACACAGCTAATATAAGAGGAGGAGCCAGGACTCCCAATTCAGACCAGTTGACAGGTTGAGGACCTCAGCCATGGGGACTCCCTTGGCTGGGATGGACTCAGTGCCACCATACAGAGTGCCACATTCAAAGAAATATGTTTTACTGAGCTGAGAACCCCAAGAGGGTGGGTAGTTCCTTTTCTTTTCCCCTCAAAAAAAAGTGTCTTGTGAGTCCATTTGAACTACAACCAACCTTGGTATTTTCTAAAGCTACCAGTTCAGAATGAAACCAGCAGGTCCAGGTACATTTGCATTAGCCAGGGTTTGAGTCATTGCAGGTCCCTAGAGGATAGAATCATGGATTTAGAGTTGGAAGGAACTCCGAGCTCACCTGGACAATCCTCACTCAGCACCACCTCCATCATTATACAGATTAGGAAGCCGAGACCCAGGAAGATCATACTGTCCTAGGGGTCAAGCTCGAAGGGACCTCAGAGGCCATCTAACCCAACCCCAACTGGCGTTAGACCAGGAAACTGAGGCCAAGAGATGGCAAGTGACCTGCCTGAGATCACGCAGCCAGTAAGCAGCAGAGACAGGACATGATCCCGATTATTCTAGCACTAAAATCCAGCATTCTTCTCCCTTGTATCTTCACTGCCTCAAACCCTCATTATGGGAAGAACTACATGGTGGAGTAAATAGGCTACTAGACTTGGAGTCAGGAGTGAATGAATGAATGAACGAATGAATGAACATTAAGTACTTGAAATGTGCCAAGTTTTGCACCAAACACTGGGAATACAAATAGGAAAGTACGGCTGTATTTGCTGTCGAGGAGTTAACATTCTAATAAACCAGAAAGATGGGTTCAATTCCTGCCTTTGACACGAGTTAAAAAGTGAACAAGTCACTTTATCCATCTGAGCCTCAGTTCCCTAATCTGTAAAATGGGGGTGATCATACCTCCTTCATGAGGTTGCTTATTGTGAGGCTTAATGAGATAATACATGTAAAGGGGCAGTAGTCAGGACTGGAGACAGGGAAGAGGAAACACTGCCCCTGCACTCAGGGGGCCCTAGCTCTGAAAGGTGGGGCTCCTGAATCCCTGAGGTGAAAGAGGTAGTCAGGGCCAGGCAGTCCCATGGTCGTCTACCATCATCTTCCCACGTCCTCTCTGCAGATCAGCACATCCTTCGTGAGCTGGAGAAGAAGAAGATCTTGGTATTCACACCATCCCGACGAGTGGGGGGCAAGCGGGTTGTGTGCTATGATGACCGATTCATAGTGAAGCTTGCATTTGACTCTGATGGCATCATAGTCTCCAATGACACCTACAGGGACCTGCAGTGTGAGCGGTTGGAATGGAAGCGGTTCATCGAGGAGAGGCTGCTCATGTACTCTTTCGTCAATGATAAGTAAGTCCCTCAGTCCTCCTCCCCTGCCTGATGTTACCCAGGCCCACATGTGGAGGGGTGAGGGTCTCTGGGGTTTCGATTTAATTCAAATGTTAAGTAAACACACACCCTATGCTAGGAATTGGGGATATGAAGATGAAAATGAAACAGATGTTGGCCTCAAAGAACTTGCTTGCTACCTGAGGGAATATAACGTAGACACACAAAAAAACAAAGTATACAAATGACTACAAAGTAATCTCAAGGACAGGAGAAAGGATGGAAGAAAGGCATCCTGTGAAGATGAGACCTGAATTCTGCTTTGGTGGAAGCCAGGGATTATCCAGATTAGCCGAGAGGAGGGGTCGGGGACAGCGTTCCAGACGTGGGGGCCACTTGGACAATGAAAGGCTACCCCTTACTCTTAACTCGGTGCCTGTACTGAATGGACACCGAGGCAGGGCAGGCTTGTAAGTCTTTGCAGGAGTAGCAGTCAGTTTATCACCAGACCAGCTGCGGTCATTAAGTAAAGACCAGGCAGGATGAGGCAAGCAGGTTCAGAGAGCCTTGGTCCAGTGCCAGCCTTGTTGGGTGACTTTGGACGCATCCCTTCCCCTGCCTGGGCCTCTTTCTTCCTCTAAAATAAGATGGATTGGTCTCGCGGGTCTTGTAGTGCTACAGTCCTATGGCCCAGCACGGATGATGTTCTAGGTGTCTGCTAGGTCGTGACATGTACCTCCACACCCCCATGCACAGGGGTCTCCTAACATCCCACCCTAGTCACCTTTGATACTTTTGGGAATGAGGATGAGCACACATGAGTCTTCAGGACCAGCATCTGAAGTTCAAGCCACATCCTCTTGCCTAAATTGGTGTCATCAGAGGATCTGAATCTCCAGAGAACACTGGCCCCAGGGCTTAGGTCTTTTCAGAGCTGTTATCCTTGGGGACCTTATAGACCTGAAGCAGAAGCTAGGAGCCTGACTTACAACCCCAGGAAACCAGACACTGAGCGGAACTTTCATGTCTGACCAGTGACTGAGGCTTTCTCTTGCTTTTGACAGGTTCATGCCACCTGATGACCCCCTTGGCCGACATGGGCCCAGCCTGGATAACTTCCTTCGGAAGAAACCTCTCATGCTTGAGCATAAGAAACAACCTTGTCCCTATGGTAAGACTGGCCCTGAACACCTCATTCCCTTTCCCCTGCCCCTCACTTAACCCCACCTCCCAGGAGCCTCCATGGACACAAATGACTCCCAAGTCCATTCCCAAGTAGAAAAGCTCCAGATAGGAGGTCAGGGGCCCTAGGTGTGCCTCTCCTAGGCTGTGGGACTTTGGGTGGGTCTGGGCCATATTCTGGCCTTTAGCTTCCACCTCTGTAAAATGCTGGTCTAGATAACCTTACTTGTGCTCTGTTCCTGGGGAAGTCACTGTAGACTCTGCTCCATTTTCTCCTCTTTAAATGGGGATGTGATATTTGTATGATTGGGATGAAAGTGCTGGAGCAGTGAAAGCTATCATTATTTTTCTCCCTATTCCCCTGACCCTTCCCTTGAGTCTCCCTTTGCCCTTGCCTGGCTCAATTCCACAAGTCTCCCCACAGGGAAGAAGTGTACATATGGGATCAAGTGTCGGTTCTATCACCCAGAGAGGCCAAGCCAGCCCCAGCGCTCAGTGGCAGATGAACTTCGAGCCAATGCCCGACTCTCCCCACCCCGGGCATCTGCCAAAGACAAGAAATGCCGCCAGCCCTCACCCACTCCAGCCCCTGGGTCCCTGCCTGTCAAGGATGCTCGGGAACATTGGCCGTCAGAGAAGAAGTTCCATGGGGCCCAGCAGGCTTCCGGAGGCAATGGGGATGGGCAGACTAAGGCCTACACCCAAGGCAGGAGCCTGCCAAGCATGAGTAGTAGCTTCAGCCCAGCAGACTGGCCCCCCCCTCCCCTAGACTCCCTCTCTTACCTCTCCCAGGACTGCCTGGATTCAGGCATTGGCTCCCTGGAAAGTCAAATGTCAGACCTCTGGGGCAGCCGGGGGAGCAGCAGCCATGGGGAGTCTGGGGAGCCTCCCAGGACTGGGGGCAGTGGCAGCAACCAACAGAGGTGCACCTTCTTAGGCCGAGGTCACCTCCTGCCCTATGGCCCTGAGCACCCCCTGGCCCTTCATCCCTCTCCTTCTCGGGCTACGGGCGCCCTGTGGGCACTGGGCAGTTCAGCATCCCAGCAGAGTACCCTCCACCTATGGGGTATGCACCACGGGAGTATTGGTCAGAGCCATACCCAATGCCCCCACCCACAGCAGCTAGGGTTCCCCAGACCCTTCAGGATCCCCACCTACTTAATGCTCCTGCAGCCTATGGTGCTGAAGCAGCGACATGGGGAACTGGGACAGATAGCTTCACCAAGGAGCGGGCCAGCCTACGTGTAAAGCTCTGTGGCATCTTCCCCCCACATCTGGTGGAGGCTGTGATGAGACGCTTCCCACAGCTCCTGGACCCCCAGCAGCTGGCAGCTGAGATCCTCAGCTACAAATCTCAGAACCCAAGTGGGTGAGCCATGGAGAGTTCCCAGTGCTACTCATAGCCCTCAGGGTGTGGGCATGGGGTGGGGGCTGCCTTGGTCTCCCACGGACCCCAGCCTAACTATGACAGTGCCCCCAGTCTGTCTCTGGAGTTAACTGGGACACTACATGGACCAGCTAATTTTTAACAACTCCTCTTGTCTTGGCACAGGAACCCTGTGGGTTCCTGAGCATCAGCCTGAGGGAGAATCTTATAAGAAAGGGATCCCAGAAACCAAAGAAATACTGTAACAATTGATTCTGGTCATGGACTAATGAAGACTCTCTTTATCTGACCCAAGCCTCTGTCTTTCTCATGTCTCTGTGCTGTATGTCTCTTTTCTCCCCCTCTGACTCTCTCTTCTGTTGTTCTTTCCTCTGACTTTCTGTTCTGTCTCACTCTCTTAACTCTCTTCTGTTTCTCTGTTTCTGTCTCTCTCATCTATCTGCTCTGGGTCTCCATCTCCCTCATCTGACTCTCTGCTCTGGATCTCAGTCTCCGTTCAAGACCAGAAGCGATTGCCCTGTTGGTACACATTGTATCAGAGTTTAATGATGAGACAGTAATGTCTGTCCTGTGGCTGATGCCCCAAGCCCTCTTTCTTCTCGAGGACAGGAAGGAGGGGAGGAGAAGCCAGGGAGGGGAGGAGTCTATTCCCCTCCTCAGCATCTCCAGCTCCCTCCCTCCAGGCTCTGTCCTTAGGATAACAGCCTCTCACTGGCTGGTTCGGCACCGTGTGCCCTCCGAGGCCCTGGCCAGGGCCCCCCAACCATGTACGCCAATGATGCCCCAGGGCCGGCGAGGTTTCATGTTAGTAGTTAAGAAAATGGTTTTTTAAGAATCTCTCTCTCCTTGTACCTGCTGTGGCTACCTTGTCTGCTTTATAGTTTCCCTCTCTTAGGTATATTTTTTTTCTCCTAGACCCCTGAGAACCTGGGGCAGGGACAGCAGAGACTTGTACCTCCAATAGGACTATATACCCAGAGGGTATCAGTGCTAGTCTCAGACAGGTATCTTTAACCTTCTTTGAGGGGGAGCCCTGCCTGTTCAGGGGGTATGGGGGAGATATGGGTTTATGGAAAGATATATTTTAGATAGGAAGTGGTTGCTTCCTGCTGTATTACCAATAAAAATTTGACTTTAGTTTTGTGTGTGTATGTGGTGTTTCTGTTTGTATTTTATTTCATGGTTTTGGTTGGAGTGGAATTAGTAAATTAGTTATGTCTCCAGATAGAGCTAACAGCAAATAGGGGAAATTTCAGGAAGGTAGCTTTGGGCTTAATAGAAGGAAGAATTTCCCAGAATTCAGACCTGCTCAGTAATAGAATAGGACGCCTTGGGAGTTAATGAGCTCCCCAGAAGTTAGATCACAAGATGCCATCACCTGGGAGAAAAGCAGGTCTAGGTACTCTCCAAGGTCCCTTCCAACTTGTATCCCACTACCAGGCCTGGGGTGAATTCTAACCTCTAAAAGGAAACTCAAGACATACCACTTCTGCAAGACAGGTTCTCCTACTTGGGAAAGGGAGCTGCAAAGTTCCAGCATTTGAAGCCCCCTGCCTTCTTAGGAAGTCCAGGGCTGGGTTCCACTGCTTCTCACACACACACACACACACACAAACCCCCCCTTGTTGGGGGTTTCCCCAGTACACACATGCTGACGACAATGGCCCCCTTTAGAGGAAGGAGTGGGGAAAGAAGGCCCGCCTGTTCCTCTTTCTAGTCGTGCTGGTTGGTTTGCCAATAGGGACTGACTACACTAATGACCTCTGTGAGAAAACACCAAGCTTCTTTGGAAAGAGCTAAGAGGAACCCAAAAGGCCAGAGGACTGCTTCCCTTCTTGGTTTTCAAGGTTCTTAGAGATCATTTAGACCAAACCTCTAATTTTACAATGACATGCCACATGCCCTAGATCAGAAGTGTGAAACAAAGCAAGAATGCTGCTCAAACCAGATTAAAATGTAACTGGAAATATTGAACAAAATACAAATTCAATGAGATATGGTTGTTAACATGTGGTTTTCTAAGTTAACATGTGGCCATCAGGGATCCTTGCAATTGCCACTACAATCCTAAATCATCCAGCTGCTGAAATGATGCACCTCTGCCTGACTATATTTCTTTTTTCTACTAAAAAATGAGTAATGGTTACAGGATGAAATGTCACCTGTTCTATAGCCTGGCATTGTCCTCTGTGATTTGGTTCCAGCCTTGTTTCACTCTTCATACTGGTCCACAAACTGATCACCAATCTCCAAGCCCTCTCATCTCCATCCATTCATGCAGGACGTCTCCCATACCAATAACCCTCTGTTCTGGAACAGTGGCAAGCACACGGGACTTAGAGTCAGAGGTCCTTCATTTGAATTCTAGGCTAGTAACCTGGCTGGCTTTGGGCAAACCCCTTCCCTTCCTGGGCCCCGGTTTTCTTACCTGTAAAAGTAAGGAGGTTGAGCTAGAAGATCTAGTAACATGCTTTTCTTTCCATTCATTTATCTCGAAGGTTGAAATCTTCAGTTTTTATCTCTGCTGCTAATTTCAGTGCCTTTGAGACTGCTCAGGTACAGCCTTCTCTACAACCTTCCCTAGTTCCCCAACCCCCAGCATAGTACCTGGCATTCAGGAGGTGTTTAATAAAGGCTTGCTGATTGATTAATTGATAGCAGGAAAGAATTGTAGAAGGTGGTGCTTGAACTGGAGGGATTTTTAAAAATTCATTATTTTTATTAAGAATTTAATAAACACCCAATAAAATGAGCACTTCTAGATGAAAGCAGAACAGAAAATTAGAATTATCCCTAAAATTAAGGGTCTCTACTAAAGTTAGCTTGCTTTTCATCTGTAGATCTCCAGTGCCCAGCACAGGATCTTGTAGACAGTAGGCACTTAATAAGCGTTTAAATAATTAAAGGAGTCAACAGGAGGGTCAGGACTCCCCAGTCCCAAGTTCTTTCCTCTGTCCCATCCTTACTATAGTTTGGATCCTGTGGGGTTCTCACTTTCCCAACTTTGATCTGAGTTAGTGGTCTGAAAGGCAGGGAGGGTAGCAGGACCAAATGTGGGCTGTCCTGCTCACCTTTGCACCACCTCCACCCCCAGAAAATGCTGACTTTGGGAAGTCTTGGGAGCCCAGAATGAGAGCAGGGAAAATTAAGGCCTCCACCCCTGCCAGGGGCCACCTCTTGATGGGAAAGGAGTAAGCCCAGGGAAAGGCAAAAAGGTTGATGAGCAATTGGTGACCCAGGTATCCTGGAACAGGGTAGGGGGCTGTTGGCACTTTCAGCTTTGCTTAGCCTGTGGAACTAGGGCTCTGCCTTTCCTGGGAAAGAAAAAGGGGGGAAGCTCCTTCCTGGGGCTGCCCTTCAAGCCTGGGCCGGGGGTCTCTTAGCTCCTCAACACAGTTTAGACCTCCAGTCCCAGGGCAGGCAAGGCGGGTCGGGCCGCACCCACTTCCAGGAAGCGGTGATTCAGACCCAGGCCTAGCCCGAGCCTCTAATATTATGCCAGGTACTCTCTGACACGCGGCACGTTTGGTCCCAGACCTCTAGAGCCCCGCCCTTGGCTCCGTGGCCCCACCCCCAGGCTATCTGGCCACGCCCCTAGCCCATCCCCTGAAGCTGAGCCGGGCCTTGGGTGGGGAAGTGGGGGGAGAACCTTACTCTTGCGTCCCCTCGCCGGCCCCACAGGGCTTGAATGATCTGGTGAGACTGCCCCGCTCTCTTTCCCGAGCCTGGGAAGAGGCCACAAAGGCCCCTTCAGGCTCCTTTCATCCTCCTAGGGCAGAGGGGGAGCCACGTTTAAACCTGGAACCTCCCATCTCATTTGCGTCTTATTTGCATGTGTGTTTCAATAGGGTTCATTGCTCTCCTGAACTTGCTTATTCTTCAGACGCAGCCTTTGCTGTACACCCTGGCCCCAGCAGCACTCATACGCGGCAGCCTGGACTGTCTTTTTATCTGTAGCTGTTTCCTGACTTAAGTTACAGGGTCTTAGGATTTAGAGCTAGAAAGGACTTGGCATCTCTTCTACTCCAAACCCCTCAATTTACAGAAGGGGAGCTCAATCTCTCTCTGTTTCTCTCAGTCTCTGTCTCTTCCTGTCACCACTTAGGTCCTGTCTCCTTCAGTTTCTTTCTCTCAGTTTCCAGCATTGTTTCTTATCTTCTTTCAGATTCCAGCCAAATCAGAGTAGAACCTGGGGGCCCAGGGGAATCGAAGTCCAGGCCCTTCCCTCAAGCCTCTGGGGCCCAGCTGTGGGGCACACTGTTCTCCCAGACCACCCTGCCAGAGCCTGTGGTCATCTCTGGCCTGGGCTGCTATGTTACTGGGGCATTAGGAGACACATCTTGCCATTTGGATTCAAAAACTGAGCTCTGCAATATCCTGGGCCAAGGCCAAGGAGGAGACTGGTAGGTCAGAGAATGGACAAGGGAATCAGGACTTGCCAGGCAGGCTGAGTCACCATGACATCTGCAGCCCACTACTTTTCCCAGCTTAGGATTCCTGGGTTCAGGGAACCCTCTTTCCCTCCCCTCTTTCCCTCCTTCCTCCCCATTTCCCAATCTATCTTCCAGGCAGGGCCTTTCAGGGGCAGCAACTTAGGGCTGGGAGTAGTCAGACCATTTCATTTTGAGGAGCTAGTGTGATACAAGGGAAAGAGTTCTCTGGCACTCAAGTCAGAAGACTTGGGTACAAATCCTGGGTCTCTGATTTACAACACGTGGGACTTCGGGCTTGTCTACTTGTCTAAGTTTGCTGAGTTTCAGTTTTCTTAGCCTGTAACATGAAGTTGGACTATACCACTCTCTTTTCTTTTCCAGCACTAAATCTATGATCTGATGACATAGTGGGTGCTTTAAGAAATGCTTTCAGAGTTATGACACGGCCTTTTTAGGTATTTTTTTTTTAAAGTTCATGGGGAGAAAGGATCAGGAAAACAATTAATTGGGCAGTCTGTTAATTGGGAATGCAGACACTGGTTTTTTTCTGTCTCTGCTGGTGAGCCATATTTAGGGGCCTTAGTTTCCACATCAGTTAAATAGAGACTGGTCCCTGAAAGGGCAAGTTAGGTCATGGGTGAGAAGTCAGTTCTTGGTAAAGAAGGCTCAGCTGAGAGCATTCACCTGGTTCCCAAGGACTTGTCTGTCCATCTTGTCAATTCCTCACCCTCCCGGTAGTATTTTAAAATGTAAAGAAATGGAAGGAACTTTAAAGGTCTAATTCCTCCTCAGCTTTACAGATTAGGAAACAGGGCCAAAGTGGAAACAAGACTTTTCTCAAGGAAATGGGCAGTCTGAATTCAAACCCTAGTCTCTGGATTCCTAGGCCAGGAAAATTTGCCTTTAGCAAAGGGCCTCACCAAAGCCTTCCTGGTTCCTGAA